GTCAAAAGCCTATATACTTCACAAAAGCCACCTCTTCCAAGAAGACAGCATAATAAATATACTTCATTTACATTGGGTGATTTTTGAACTGTGAATTATCTTTATTGTTTATTCTTTTGAGTTCCCATACGTGAAGATTTCTGAATCTTTACAAATTTTCAAGTTCTGCCTGGCTTTATGCCTCTTCCTTCTTGAAATGTCCTAGTCTAAGTCTGAACATTAAAATTTCAATTTACTATATAAATATTTCAGATTATTTTACCTTTTAGTAACAGTTCTTTTTGCTTGGAAACTATTTTAGCCTAAACAATTAATGTTGCCAAAAAGAAGGCTGCATACTACACATGAACTATATATTGTTTTGGGTTACAATAGACAGCCACTTTGAATTGAAGCAAATTAAATAACAGGTTTGACTCACTTTTCTCTAAATTCTGTTTAAGTCACTGCAAGTAGCCACCATCATAGCACCCAAAATAATTTTGTCAAATTATAAATTAAATCAAAACAAAAAGCTCTGAGGCCAAGAATAAAGTTAACCAAAAGGAATTATTTTCTAGTACAATACAGTTCCTATGTGTAGCTTACATGCTTTACAACAAAATAAAAAGCATCTTCCAAATAACTATTCTATGTGTATATTACATGCTAGTAATGTTGGTAAACATTAGTTAAGATGTCACCCAATTTTCACTACTAGAATCTTATTTCCTTAGCCACTACCCATGGTACAAATTACTGTAAAGCATTTTTTCCAAATCATTGAATTCTTCTTACTCAAGCTTTAATCCCCAAATCCTTGAGAACTGTGCCTTTTTCATGGCCATCTGAAGCCCTCTCTGGTTTGGATTGTTCTTAACTTTTGCGCTGCAAACAGCAGGACACTGGGGCCTGTGGCATACAGGCCCCTAATCTCGTGTACTGTGGCACACTTTTCATGTTTTCTTTAAAGTTATTGGTAATTTCTACACACATCCAAATTTCATTTGATTTGGCTATAATGCACTTACAAAACACTTCTGTTATATATATATACTGTGGAAAGATGCTATCTTAAGGCATTTGCAAATATAAAAAAAAGAAGTACTTTAATACTTCTGGATTTCAGTCAAAAGAATTATTATTGTAAAGCATTAATAACACATTTTTATATATTTAACCAGTCATGGATACAAACAGAGGGATCCAGCAGACAATGGGACTATAATTACCTGTAATTATCTGCAACCCACAGTCTCAATATATCTACACCTGGAGAAATCCAAGCTCCAGGGCTTATAAAACAACAGAATCAACAACAAAAATACTCTACTTAAAGATAAGTAGCACCTTGGCTTGGAGTGGGAAAGACTGGTAGAGTTGCTTTTGTAGCAATCATGCTTTGGAGCAAGCAGATTTTGGTTTTTGTGTTTTGCCTTTTTTGGTGTTTGCTTTTGGTTTTGTGTTTTTCAGGTATTGGTAATTGAACCTGGAACCTTGAATGTGGTAGGCAACCAAGTGGTCTTTCACTAAGATACAGCCCCAGATTTTTTGAAAAGACAGGGTCTCACAAAATTGCAGGCCTCAAATTTGTGATATTCCTGCCTCACCCTCCTGAATAGTGGGGATTATAAGTGTACACCACCATAATGTGCTAAAAAAAAGGTTTATTTCTTTGCCTTAAACCATTATTTATGGAAGAAAGGCATGTCTTACCTGTAGAGATTGTAACTATTATTAGCAAAAGCACAAAGTATTCAATTCCTAACGGAGATAATTTTTCAATATCAGAGAAGCATGAACTTTACATGAAATTGTTACATAAAATTTTATATGTACTAAGCATGACTAGAAGAAAGCTTTTAAAGACAAATGGTAAAGACTTTTTTTAAAATAAGTTTTTTGGTTAAATCAGGTCTTTAGTGACACTTGTTCTATGAACTATTAACTGATTTTGCTGGTGGCTTTTCTGCTCCTGATTTTGCTGATGTCCCTTGAAGACCAAGACAAAATTACTCTGAGTTACAGCTCACAGAATATATTTCACACAGTTTATCTTGCTTTAATACAAAACAATTACACAATTAAAATATACCTTTTGATCTGAGACAGCATACATTATTTATGAAGCTACTCATGTGCAGGTTGCATAAACTTTTCATCTTTTTTCAACGCAGGTGCAGCACCACTGAGCTAAATCACTGGCCCAACTTTTCATCTTATAAAAAATAAAAACTCAGATTCTCTTAAAAGCTGCATCAGTCTTTGTACATCTTCCCATGGTGCTTGATGTCATCTTTTCCATTCACTGACTCACAGATTCATTTTTTTTCTTTGCCTGGGGTGTTATTTTCTATACCTTTGCTGTTATCTGACTTCAGCTACTCAGTTTGTTCAAATGCTTTTCCTTCATCTGGGTGCTTCTTTTTCTTTTGTGTGTACACTTCACAGAGAAGAATAATGACCACTAAAACAACAGCTTCAGCAGTTATTGCAAGAAAAGGCTTGAGGGGCACCAAAAACTTCAGCACAACAAGCTCAAGCTGTTCCTCACTCTCCCATCGCTGGAATATTGCATGTTACCGGTAGGAACCCCCGTCTTCCAGAGGATGCTTTATCTTGAGCTTTGTTTCATTGCTGTATGTTCCGCTGACAACGTACTTATCATTCACGTGAACATCAGTAGGAACCTGTACAGTCCCATTACTTCTGTACCAGATCCAATGTAAAGGAAGTCAACGTGGACCTTTACACACCAGGACAGTAGAGTCACCCACGTAAGTGATCAATGGTTTGTTTTTCCATGAAGTTCAGGAGCTTTGATATTAAATGTTCCCCTTTGTTCCTTTTCTTCTTCAAAGAGACAAGAGTAGCTTCCCATTTGTTTGCTGTTAATGATGGTGGTCATGTACTCAGTATACAGAGTGTTTCCTGTTCCAGTGAGAGAAACATTCTTAAGTAATTCATCATCCTTTTTCCAAGTCATGTTGATTGAATTCAGATCCCCCGAGGTTGTGTACTGGCAGGTGAGAGTGATAGCAGAAATTTCCAAAGTGTTATTTTTTCTACTGGCATACTGGAATGTTCAGTTAATGATATGTTATGACTCTCTGAGGAGGAAAGATTAGAGTATTTCCCCATTACTTCTTCTCGAACAGGTAGACTTGTGAAAGATGAATCTGCAGGTCCACGGGCCACCGCGACTCCGTTTCCCGCGGCGAAGAGGAGGAGGAGGAGGAGCGGCAGCAGCGGCCAGGCCACGCAGGCTCGGGCGCCCCGAGTCCCCCCAGGCCAGGCATCAGGGCACCAGCGGGCTGCGCAGAGGATGCAGCTCCACATCTCGCTGGTGGCCAGTGCTTTTAGCTGATCCCCGCCACGCAGGCCGGAAAAAATTCAGTATTTTTTGGTATTCCACTTTTTAATCTCTTATGGATTTACTGGATAAATGTTTTCTTTAATAGTTGTTCTAGGGTTTATATGCATTTTCCCCATGTATATCACTCTACATATAATACAAAGACCTTTTAACACTATACTTCCAAGTTCTCCTTCCAACCCTTTTTATCACATCATCATAGTTTTAGTTCTACATGTTATAACCTCCAAAGTAAATTGTTTCTGGCAGTTATCCTTTAAAGAAAAAAAGATCTTTTATAATTGTAAATGTCTAGCACATTTTCTAAAAGTATGATCAATGTCTTTGTTTTCTTGTTAATTTCTAAACTTATCCAATGGAAGTATGGGTATTTCATGACATTTGGTCACAATTTTATTATAGCACTTAAACTGCATTTCGTTTATTTACAAACCCACAGTGCATTAGGTAGTGGACTTCTATGAAGGCAGATTGAATGGTATTTTTTCTCTCTAGAACTTAGCAAAATATCTGCTGTAAAAAGACAAATATGAAATAAAATATATTCGTTAGTGTTATTTTTAAGTGAATATTAGGATCTAAAATTTGAGATTTTTGTAAGAAAAAAATTCGTTTAAAAACATTGGGCCTGTTATGTTGTGCCATTAAATTTTGAGAGAGAGAGAGAGAGAGAGAGAGAGAGAGAGAGAGAGAAATACACAAATCTTTAGAGTAATAGAACTAGCTTTCTACATAAACGCTGAAGCCCACTTCCAGAGCCTCAACTTTAGAAGCTCCCAGGCCCACAAAGGAGACTGGAGGAGAGTAGCTGGAGGAGAGGTGTGGTATTCTAGGAAACAAAGGAAAAGATGTTTTAGGGTGGAGGATGTGGTTGGTAATGTTTCAACAGGGCCCAGTTTAAATGAAGGTCTTAAAAGTGTCTTCGGATTTTGTGAAATGGAAGTTCGGTAAGGCAAGTGGTGATGGTTGATTAAATCACACTGCAATCTCTTAAGGCAGCGGTAAGTGCAGGAGAAGAAACCAGTTCTTGGAAACTCTAGCAAGGGGCAGAAACCAAGGCGGAGACTCTTTTCTCCTCATTCTGGAAGGGTCCAGGAGGTACAGATCCCTAAGCGAAAGTCTTTCCTGGGATAAGAGGTGGCCCCTGGGCACATGACGTTCCGGGCCTCACCTGCCGCACTCTATGCGGCACTGAGTCTGTGCCAGGAGATTTCAGACTTCCGGAGTGTTCCTTTGGCGCTATCCTGCCGCCAAACGGGAAATGTGCTCTGTCCCCTTCCCCAAACTTCCCTCCCTGGAGTGTGGGCAACCTCTGGGCAGTCCTGGGTACCGGATGCCACAGCCTCCAGTCCTGACTCTGTTCCGGGCGAATCTTGCCGGGCAACGCTCCCAAGGTTCCGCTGCCGCGGACGGTCCTCTCAGCGGCGCGGGGTCGCAGGCCCTCCGCGCCCCTCAGGCGGT